AGATATAGATTTACTCACTGCCTGAAAAACAATCCCTCTGCATCTTTAAAACACAACTTTTCATGAAATTAAAAAAGCTTTTTCTTTTAAATTAAACCTTGTCACATTTTACAAGCATTTTTTTCTCCATTAGTCACTCATTAAGTCACCATCAGGTGCAAGAAGTGACCAATAAAATGGATTTATGCAAGAACGTGGAAATGATTAACCCGACAGCAGCAACATTGTAAACCAGTCACTTTTCTGTAACGAGACTGAAGTTACAACAAAGGTGTCAGGTAASTAAGTACAAATACTTTGTTACTTTACTTAAGCAGAAATTTTGGTTATTGATACTTAAGTAATTAATTTTCAGCCTACTTTTTAATTCTACTCCTTACATTTTAATTTAATTATCTGTACTTTCTACTCCTTACCTTTTAAAAATGCAAAACGTATTTCATTTCTATTTAACTTTGACTTGTTTTTATTCCATCTTTTCACTTGTTGAGAAATAAATAGAAATCCATCCAGATACATGGAGCCCTTGGATAGAGTGAATTTGATTGTGGTTGGATAAGAAATGTAAATATAAACCATTCTGACATCCTGTTGGATTGAACTCACTCCATCACACCTGTATGACACAAATCACATCCAGCAGGACAGACTGCAGGTGGAGCCTGGAATGAAGATGATCGAAGCTGAAACAACTAGTCTAATCAGTTAATTCAACAATTTTCAATTTTAACATTTTCATTTAACGTTATACTCATTTTAGAACCCTGTGGCACAGCCTCATTTTATCCCTAATGACTTTTTTAAAGTGTTCGTTACTTTTACTTTTATACTTTAAGTAGTTTTAAAAAAGCACTTTTATACTTTTACTTGAGTGAAAAGCTTGAGATGATAATTCTACTTCCAATAAAGTATTTTTAAACCCTAGTATCTATACTTCTACTTTAGTAATGAATGTGAATACTTCCAGGGGAGTCTGATGTTATCAGTCCATGAAATGGACATTATTAGGCGTTATCAGTCCCATACAATGGCTTCAGAGGGTCCCTACTGTGCCTTCTAGGCTTCACTGTCCCAACAGTGCCCCCTAGTGGGTTAATATATCAATGACAATGAATGTGTAAATAACCAAAAGATATTGTAAAATATTTTTGGTGTCTGTGTCGGTCTCGAACCCTGGTCTCCCGCTCTACCCGTTGCCCTATTGGAAGACCACATTATACAACCGTTGGAGGGCGGTGTCTTTAGCGCTAACCATGCCATTTGCTCTAAAGTTAACCTTAGTGGATTTAAGCCTCATATTAACCAGTTTTTAATGCCTCATTTTGAACAAACAGTGGCTTTATGCCTCATACTAACCAGCTGACAATCTGAAGCCATTCTATGGGACTGATAATGCCTGATAACGTCCATTTCATGGATGATAACATCTGAAGCGGGTGATACTTCTGACACCTCTGGGCTACAATAAAACATTAGAAATAGTTTATCAAGTTTTATATTTATAGTTGAATAAAGTTCATAAATGGCAAAAAAAAAAACTAAATAAATTTATTATACTACATTTAAAATAATAAATACTGCACTTATTCAACCCTTCTGTTCTTTGTCTTTTACCAGCACCAGTTTTATTCTGTCACAAACACAAATATTAATGTTTACAGAACATTTACACTCCCCGAACTCAAAGCACCTCTGATCCAACAGATTCACAGAAAGCTTTGAATTATTCGTTTTGCCAAACTGCAGTTTTGTGTAAAACCTTTTCTATAAAGGGTCAGAAGAAAGGAGCAGTAATAGTTTTTGTGCTGTGCCAATATAATAATAATAATAATAATAATAAAAAAACTGAATCAGGTATTCAAATGTAAAAAATAAATAAATAATTGTCCACAGTGAAAGCTGCTTTTCTGCTTTTCTAAAACCTTTCAAGACAAAAAGCTGTAGAACCTTTTAAAAAACCGCCGCTCATACAAATCCACTGACCCAAAAAGAGAAAAAGTGTTTTTTTTCATTAAAAGCTTTTTAAAAAGTACTTAAAGCTGAACAAGAATCAGCCAATTGTTCAGCAACTTTTAAATGAAATCCTCTCAGCTGATCACAGGTAGTGTTGTTCAGCTTTCAGCCACACGACGGCGCTCTCTGGATGTTTTCTCATGCTGAAGAAAATAAAAGGGTTTTATTTTGCTCCATTTGGGGGAGCAAGAGCTCTAAATTTGAAATGAAAAGATGTGAATATATTCCAGGAAAACTTCACACTGTCTTTAAAGAAAAAACAACTTTCAGTCACAAAAAAGGCAATAAGTTATTTATTTGTTACTGGTTTTATCATATTCTTAAAAAAAACACACAATATGGTGGCTTAAAACAAGTCTACAAATGCTTTTTTCCCCCATCAATAATAATAATATTCTAATACACCAGTCAAACACTTACAGTATATACAGAKACAATGGAAACTTGACGCTTTAATAAAATAGTGCCAGTGTAACAACAAGCTTCAGTTTCACACAACGCCCAAATATTGCACAGACATTTATAAATATACATTTTGTGCCCCTTTTTTTGCCTAAAGTGATAGTTTAGATCCTTTGAAGTAGGGTTAGCTGTGTTATGAACAGTTAATATCTTACCTGCTGTAGATGTTGCCTCAAAAGTTCTGAAGTATCACTTTAAACACGTGTTTGCCTCTGAGTGCGTGTAAAAGTGTCGGATAAATTAAACCCTAGAAGTGGATGGAAGAGCTGCACACACAGTTTGTACACACAAACACACACACAGTTGTGCGTAGATCATCTTCAGTCTCGGTGCGCTGCACTCATGAACACACAGAGGAGCATTTAAAGCACTGTCCGAACAACAAAGTCCACTCTGTCTTCAGTGCTGCTTCCTTCCGTCAGATAAACAACAGACATGTGTGTGTGTGTGATTTGCCAAAATATGTGTGTTGGTCCCACTTTGTCTGCTGTTCAGGTCCCAGGATGTGTGGCGCTCCAAGTCTTTGTTTTCAGTCGGTTTATTAAAAAAAAAAAAGAAAAAAACAGGGAGAAGACTTCCAACCAGGGAATGAAGGTTTCAACTAAAGCAGATCTCAGATCTGAGTTAAGGTGTTCAGAAGGTGCACGTCCCTCCCAAAGACAACAAARGTCCAACCGGGAGACGCTCAGGCGTCCGCCGTTTGATCGGACGTCAGCTTCTCCTGGTCGGAGACGTCGTCCTCAGCCGGCGGCCGCGCCCGTTCGAAGAAACCTAACTGAGGAGGGGAGGAGATGTCACATTACCGGGTTTATCAGACGCTAAAACCACTGGTGGAAAAGGTGTTGACGTTTACTGCGTGTGTGTGTTTGTGTGTGTGTGTTTGTGTGTGTACCTTCCACAGGGCTAACGTTAGCATGGCTAGCACCAGCAGCCCCAGCAGGATGGCCAGGATGATGACCCAGAGGGGAACAGCGAACGACACATCGGGAGTTCCCCACAACACTGGAGTCCCCATCTGGAGACAAACAAACAAAAACAAACAAATAAGTAAATAAGAGGCTTGGCGTTCTTTGAAGGAACTTATGAAATCATCACAGCTGATTTGACTGAACCTTGTGAGGTAGAAGACATTGTGATATTTCGTGAGGAATGACAGAATATGTGTTGTGAACGACTCTCAGRTACTACCACACCAAGCTTCAGCTCAYTGTCTGTAAAAGTCACTTTGTAACTATTTTTATTGTGTTTAAGTCCAGGGTCCATGCAGGTTTCAGTAAGTAAAATTTAAGACCTTTTAAAGACCATTAGGAATGACATTTAAGACCAAACGACACACTAACAGAAACATTCAAATGGCATAGAAACCTTATATTTCTATCAGTTTAGCTATTAAAGAATGTTTAATTTTAATACAAGAACTAAATTATTTTAATGAAACGGTCATATCTGACTGCTGTGGACCGCTTCCAACCGAGTGCAAAAATCACTGATATCAGACAAATTTAACTGAAAACACACTTTCCCATGTTTAAACTACGAGCAGCAGACATGAC